CCTTCGTATACTTTTCGAGACAACAATCCCCAAGCGTTTTCGATAGTGTTTAGGTCAGGTAGCGACCACTCGAGCAACTCAACATTTTGGTCCTTCATTCACTGTTTTACCACTTTTGCGGTATGAATGGGACCGTTGTCTTATTGATACAACCATGGAATCGGTCCAAAAATATTAGAAAAATGTGGAAATGCCTTTTGAATCACAGTTTTGTACATATTTGCATTTATTTTTGTTGACACAAACTGAAGCTCACATGTCTCATAGTACGAAATCGCACCCCACACCATTACGCCGCCTACACAACTGTGATTTCGACTCAAAACATATTATTCCTTTCATAAGTCGTGATAATAGAAGTTATAGCCATCCGGTACTTCCAGGCTGAATTTCTTTCCATCGTTAAAACTACCTTCTACCATTAATTGTCCCAGGACATGTGCTTTCTTGCAAATCGTAAGCGTGCCGCCTCACGTGTGTCATTGAGAGGTGGTTTTCTTTTTATTTTTAGTCTCTTCAAATGCTTGGCACTCCGAATAATCCGTTTTACCGTTGCCAAACTTGCGGTTACACCGCATTCTTCCCTGATTTTAGCCGCAGAACGTTGGGAATTAGAGGCGGTTCTAAGGATTAGTCTCCTGTCAGCTGGAGTTGTCGCATGTGGAGACTCTCCTTTCATATTTTTCCCGTAAAATTCTTCATTGCGCACAAAATTACCAACAACATTTTGACTTCTTCCAATTATCAGTGCAATTTCGCGCTGATTTAGGCCGGAATTGAGCTAACCTTTTCTTTGACCTTTTTCAAAGTCATTCAATTGTTTTCCGCGAACCATTCCACCAAAAAACAACGGTAAATACTTCTAATTACAATTAGAAAAAAAGTTGACACCATTAACTTCACGCTGTCGATCACAAAGTAAAACTGAAGTAATTGAACCTATTCTGATGAGCGAAAAAAATGCAGCGTTTTTAGCCAATGTAAAACGTAAGAAAAATTCCTCAACTACCGTTTAAAAAATCCCGTTACTTTTTTATATTCACAACATATAATTTTAAAAAATGTATGTGCAGTACAAGCTGAAATATTGGACGAAATTAAGGCAGCATTCTTTGAACCTATTCAGTTGAGCGGCAGTGTATGTATATTTTGAAATGTGGACAGTATTCTGTAGCGGGGAATTTGGTCGCTGGAAGTGATCACAGAAATAAAATAAACTCATCTTGCCAAAGGACCAGGAGCGTCCACATTCCAAGTTTGGTTAATGTACGATCAGCCGCTTCCGAAATCCAGGCGTTTATCCAGACAGACAGACATGACTAGACCGATTCGTCCCGTCATGCTGATTAACAATATACGTACATAAACTTGATGGGGTCGGAGATGCCTCCTTCTGCCTAAAACAGTAAACCTAATATGTATACAATTTTTACCGTTCGGTTACAGGGTATACAAAATAATCAAATTGAAAAAATAAATGTTAAATTGTGAGCAGATACTGAAAGTAATTGCAAAATTGTATTAGGAGTATAGTATTGTATTAGTGTATTAGGGAGTGGGGGAAGGAAGGAGGGTATGCACTGCGTGTGCATACTGATCAAGAATTTATATACTTTGGCGGTCTGCCACTCCTGTTCTGTGTGTTACTCACATTCTTACTAAACAGGTATACTCCTTTACCATTTGGGTACAGGCTATAAAAATTAAATCATTAACATATGTATACACTAGCAGGTCTTGCCCGTCTTTGCTGGGCTAAGTAAAATGTGCTTAAAATTATAAGTTTATTTACTATATGATATTCTTCTTTCGACGCTCTCTAAAGTTTTTTCAAGAGATCATTTTCCAAATAGCAAATATAGTACAATAAGTACTATGTATGGTTATACGTACATACATACATATGTACATATCATCGTTACGCACCGGGTGGACTGCCAGTCCTGACTTAACTGTGTGCTTTCTCAGCATGTTGTACGCACGGCCGAGTTATCCCCGAAAAGTCCGACGCGGGACATTTAATTTTGATTTATAAATCGGGACGTCCCGCCAAAATTGGAGCGTTCGGCAACGCTGATATGTACATACATTTAAATTTGTCATCCAGGCGTTATCCGCCTCTATACATACATACATACATATACATGTTTGTATTGAATTTTTTAATTCAACACTAATTTGTGTCTTCAATTCCAAATATGATTATTGTGAATGTAAAAGGTGTGTTTCTGCTTTTGTAAATCGCATGAACAAACTCACAAAATAGGCTGAACGATAAATGCAGGGTTCGTAAAATGTGCTCGCAACCCGTTTGGGCCCGCGGGAAATTCTGCTGCGGGTTTTTTCGGGTCGCTGCCGACAGAGGCGGCGGGTACGATCGGGTCGTGCGGGTACGCCGTGCTTCGCCGCGGGTCGCTGCCGACAGCAGCAGTGTCGCACGAGCCGGTCTGCAGTAGCAGAGCGCTCGTTCGTGGTAGGCAGGCATATGTATGTGTGATGTGTGAAATTTGTATGATGGTATGCTTGTGTGTATATATTTTTTTAAGGCGAAATGTGCGCGATCTCTTTCACTCTGTACCTACTGCCTACTCCGTTTCAGCTTGACGCAGCTGTTTTTCCTACGTTTGCACAGTGGTACCTGATACTATTTTTAAGGATCCGTGGCGTTGCAACTTAGCGTAATTTAAAGGGACTTTTTTACCTATATACTCCTATACCAATAAAACCTACAGTCAATTCGTATACTTCATTCACATAACATATTTTAGTAACAAGTTTATTTATTTGCAAATGATCTTTTTATTTCCTATAGCCAAAAAAATCGAAAGACATTCATTCAGAAATCTAGTATCAGGTACCACTATGCAAACGCAGACAAATCTGCTGAGTGAGGCTATAAGGGATGAAATGCATCGCGCACATTTTGCCTTGAAATATATACACACAAGCATACCATCATACAAGTTTCACACATCACACATACATATGTACGACCCGATCGTACCCGCGGCCTCTGTCGGCAGCGATCCGAAAATACCCGCGGCAGAATTTCTCGCGGGCCCGAACGGGTTTTGCCCGCATTTTACGAACCCTGGATAAATGACTCTTAGATTTGTTCAGAGTATATTTGTAGCGTTGTTAGCTAACACTAAAACGGTAAGTCGCTGTAAATATGCGATCAGCTGAGATGCTAGAGATGGGCATGTGTCGGATGCTCTATGTGTTAGAGCATCAAAACTATCGATAGTTGAATCCGTCGATACAATCAATAATTCCATCGAAGTTTGAATGCAATTAACAGAAAATTTAAAAATTAACATCTTATAATTTATGGAGATCAATTAGAACAAATCATATACAAACATACATATGTACATCTGCCCGCAACGTGAAGAAGAATATGCGTAGGTCCGCTTTCGGTTTCTGCTTTACTATCGCTTACGCAGTCGTTGCCTAGCGACGGTAACTGTAAATTTTTGACATTTTGCCTAAGAAATCAACAGGCGTAAATGATCAAAAGAAGAAGCGCGAGCCAATGACTTGCAGTTGTTGTTGTTTTTAGTTTTAAAAATTTGAATTAAAACCATAGAACATTATTTATTACAATCAAACAACAGTGCTCGATTGTCCAATGTATACATACATACGAATGTACATACATGCCATATATGTACGTACACAGGCATACATACATACATATGTATGTACATATGCATGCATGTTTCTCTTTACTTTTTCAACCGTACGTAGAGAACCGACACATAGATACGAACTGTTGCTTGTTCTGTGTGTGAGTGTGTGTATATGATGTCCCCAACTATTTGATATTTGCGTTCTTTGTAATTTGTTGTTGCTGCATAAAGTTACTAATGAAAACCCTAATGCCAAATGTACTAAACAACGAAAAAATTACTTATAAAAATGTTAAATAATTTTTTAATTAATTAACATTTCTTGCTCTGTCAGTGCAAGACGAATGAACACACATACATACATAGATGTGTACATGCACATAGATGTGTACATGCACATAGATGTGTACATATGTATGTCTGTACATTCACACAGTGTCTCACATTTTGCTTTGGCTATTTCAATCGTTTGCACGCAACTACACGAACAGCTGCTTGTATGTGTGTGTAATACTTAGTTATGCCCAACTGGTTGATATTTTGTATTGTTTGTTCTGCCTGCATTTGTAGAATGCATATTTTGAAAATCCTTGAACGCAAAGTTATAGATTTAGTTACGTAGATTACAGTCCCCAAATTTGAAATCGATCGGAAAAAATTTATAACACAAACTTTTCATTTGAAAAGGTGAATAAATATTAAAACCCCAATAATTCAAGCTCCACCACAAATTTCGAAAATCCGAGTATGCAGTTTTGTTTGTATTCTTTTATAGATTATAAAAGTCAAATTTAAAGTTGATCGGTGCAGAAATGCAGAATTTTCAAACAAACTTTGGAGCTCGTTTTCCCCCTTTTGGAGCTTCTCAGTGGGCACCTTCACTATGAAAGGATGCTTAAGTCCAAATTTCAGCATCCTAGCTTTTACCGTTTGGGCTGTACGTTGATCACCAATCAGTCAGTCAGTCAGGACAAACTGTTTTATATACATACAATATAGAGATTTTATAAACACGGTACACTGGTTGAGTGCGAGGGTAACACACAGGGAGCGTAGTACACATTTCCATTCGTTCACACAGATCAAGAATATTTGTAGTTGCATATGCCTCCCCTCCTTCGAAGTGTTAAATACATTCAAACTGAACTAGTATACCCTTTCCTCTTCTCTTAGTAAGCCCTACATACTTTCAAATATTCATACGTTCTTTGAAATACTTTTGTATGTATATACACATACATATACAAACATACATACAATATACTGTAATGTGTGGCGACTTGAACTGTTACACATTGTAATAACTTTATTTTAAAATCTTACATCATACATACATTTTTGCATGATAGAAAGAACGTAAGAACTTACCATGTTCATCACGAAAGAAAAAGTTAATTTCTTTAGCCTTCGTCGGTTCAGTCGACATTTTTTCCCTTTAATGTATGTACAAATTGGGTTATGACAAGATTGTAGAATGTTCACTTTAAGGCGCACACAACGATTGATGTAACACTTTATATTAAATTATTATTTCTACTGCAACTACCTCACATACAAATGGGTCTTAATGGAGTTATAGCCGTATATTCATATTAATGTTCGTGCATATGTATGTATATATGGATGCCTGTATTTAATAGCGCGGTACGTATTAACACGATTCTGTAATTACTACTCAATTGTAGTAGAAATATTTTATGTACTTGTACTTTCACTTTACCCCTGAAACAATTTTACCCTATGACAGTGTATGACATATTACGTACATGCCTAAGTTGATTATAGCGGCCGAAAAATATGTCGTTTGACTCAAAATGGCGAGCGAAATTGTACTTCTTGCATGCACAACAAATGCGATCTTTTATTATTAGTTATTTCTGTTGTAAATTGGTTTGCTTGTGCACTTCAATGTTAAACGGATTTCGAAGTGAGACAGTTAAATAATGCGCGTTTTTGATACAATTGTTTCCCATGTAACACAAAAAAATTCCCAAAAACAGTTTATCCTACGCTTTGTTTCACACTACAATGAGAGATGGAACGAAATAGAAAACATCGAACGGGCCAGCTGTTTCGGCCCGCCAAAAATAGCATCAATGTTGGTTAACGAGTAATCTGTACTAATGGTATTCTTGCAACTGCTTTCAATTTATGATGGACTCTAATATTTTTTAAGTCAGTGCACATATGGCCCTACAATTTGTGAACAGAAAATAAACTTCATTGGAGATTATAATTTTAACATTTGGATGGCCAACATTTCGCATAAAAATAAATAAATTAGTTCCTAGGTTATTTGATTACCTTTAAACAAATTATTCTGCAGAGTATATTACAGGAATACCACTCAACACTGAATTAAGACATCGGCTTACGTTGTTTTTCTAAATTCTAAATGTTTACTATGCCAAATGGGTTTCGCCCACCGATAACTTACCCTTACTCATAAAACGAACAAAAATATACTACAAAGGAAAATATATTCCTGAATGCTCGATTTTAATAAAGCGTGGCATGTTTAATGAGGTAAAATATCGATCTATTTGAAACATCGATTTATCGATGCATCGAAAAGTCTACTAACCAATTTAAAAAAAAATACACATAGGGCACTTCGTTTGATTTTTCTTATTTATTTAAAGGTAGAAAATGTTTGAAAACGAACGATATTTTTAAAAATTCAAATAATAAACTAATAAAAAACAATTTACAACAAAAAACCGACTTCAAACAATTCTAACACAAATTAATAAGCGCTTAAAAGTAAACAAATAATGGTGTATTTCTTCTACAATAATGTAGGCAGAATTATTGTTATTTTTGGAGTCGGTGTCAGCCAAAGAGACTCTACAATATACCTAGCAATAATAATATAAGAATACTTAATTCCATTTAAAATGATTCAAATATCTCATTTAAATTTGACACCTATCTACCGGGTGCCTTCGCATATTATCCGAAACTCATGAACATTTCGTATGTTTTAAGAATTATATGGTTTTCTCATGGATGCTATTGTCAGAACTGGACTAAATTGAAATGGGACCATTCGGGAAGTACCAGCTTTCGAATGGTACAAGAATCTTCAAAAACGGTTTAACCAGTTGAGTGTACCGAGGTAACAAACATAAAAAAAAAAAACAGACGAATTGATAACCTCCTCCTTTTTTGAAGTCGGTTAGTTAATGACTAATTTGATCCTTATAAATAGGGCACTTTATTTTGTATTGTCATCTTATTCATCTGTTTTCAACTCTTTTTCCTACCTGATGATGCTTCGTATTTTTTGTCTATAAGCGACAAAGTATAGCTTGAGATCGTTAGTAGTTCTTCAATTGTCAACGTAGGATGCATACTTTTGAAATGTCCAGATAAATTGGTGGTATTGACACATGTTTGATACACTTTACCACATTTAAGGAATTTAGCAGACTTGCCATCCTTAGACTTATTGAAGAAATTCCACACAGTTACCTTTGCAATTAAATTCGTTTAAAAACTTCTCTATTTCGAAGCACTGCCAACACCAATATTCAAAAATGCAAATAATAGCTTTTTACTTACCTGGCATTTCCCGCAATACTTTTTCTCAAGTATAAAAACATCGAACATCGAAAATAAAACATCGATGTTTGGAAGGAATTACAAAACATCGATGTTTTGAAGAAATTACAAAACATCGATGTATCGATTTTCCATCCATGTTTCGCCCAGCTCTAGTACATACTAAAACTGCAGAAAAAATCTATGCAGATTCTATTTAATCGATGCCAGTTACCAAATAATATACATATGTATATGTAGATGTGTCATTTCATACAACGAAAACATCCCATCAAAATTGTGAGCAGTGTTGCCAATCTGTCTTTTTTCCCGTCAAATCTGGTTGTTATACTCTGTACATGAAATGTACAAGAGTATAATAGGTTTGCGGGAGCTGAAAAATTTAACAGGCAGAAGAAGGCGTGGCAGACCCCACAAAGTGTATATATTCTTGATCAAGGTGACAAGACGAGTCGATTTATGTCTGTCTGTCTGTCCGTCCGTCCGTCTGTCTGTCCATCTGTCCGTATGAACAGCTAGATCTCAGAGACTATAAGAGCTAGAGACACCAAATTTTGCTGTGCAAGTTTGTTTTATTTTTTTTGATTTTCCTCCCCACTTTGGGGGTTTCCCCGATTTTCTATTCATATAATCGCCTATATCTCAGAGACTATAAGAGACTATAATTTCTATAATTATTCTAAAGATATGTACAGAGTATTTCAAGGTCGGGACATCCGACTTTGCCTATTTTACTTGTTTTTGAAATGAAATGAAAATATTCGAAATTGTGGGAAGTCTTGCTATTTATACTCTGTACATGAAATGTACAAGAGTATATTATTAAAATAAAACATTTATGTAAAAAATTGAAACGAGGCACCTTTACCATTATTTTGTTATTAACCTTTGTCTAATTGTGGTAAATGATTGTAGTTTATGGAGTTATTTTTATGCAAAAAGTGACTTACAATTACTAATTACTAAGTATGTTTATAATGCTGCCCATTCATGACAGTAGTAGCGCTCACTTGTGAAAGTAGACCCTACGTATTGACAAACAGACTGCTGTGGTTATACACACTACTACACATGACATAACTTGTTTAAACCATCTTTATCTCAAAAATGCGCTTTATTTGTAAAGGTGCGAATGCATTCATGCTGAAAGAATAAGAAAAAATGCCGAGATGTTTTGCTCACTTATAAAGAAACACAGACGTTCTATGGGGAAAAACAAAATTGATTTTGAGAAGCTACCGAAGCAAGAATCCGCGCTGTGCCTAATTGTTGCTCGGCATACAGCAATAGCGCAGATTAACATTTTTGAAGGTGCATAGCAGCTTGGCTATGCGCTGACTGGGAGCTATCGCATTCGTGCTCTCTGTGAGCGAATTTCAATTCGGTGAGGCAGTCAACAGAGATAGGTCCGTCCGCGCCGTTTCTGCGGTTTGAATATATGTGGCCATGCATACATGGGCATGAGTATTTCATACCCTGTTGCCACCTTCTGTCGCATTATGTGTTTTAAGATGCGAATGCAAGTGAACTTTGTCAAAAGTGTATGGGTTTCTAATAATCCTCCCAGCAGTACGGCATACCGGTCTAAAACCGTTCAAATTACCGGCCACAGCGCACTACCACTAATCCGAACTTCATGCCATGCTCCCTTCGTTTTTTTCACACGATGTCATACGAAGCGGACAATTCTTCCCGGTTCACCAACATCGAACTGGTAAGTGGACCGGTCCATTTTTATATTTTATATTAGATTCGCGCTAGCTGAAAAATGTAACAGGCAGAAAGAGGCGTGGCAGACCCCACAAAGTGTTTATATTCGTGATCAGCATGACAAGACGAATCGATCTAACACTGACTGTCTGTCTTTCCGTCTGCCGCTCCGTATGAATACCTGGATCTCATAAAAGCTAGAGACTCAAAATTTTGCAAAAATATGCCTTATGTGTGTACGCTGGGCAGGTTTGTTTTATTTTTTTGATTTCACCCTTTTGTGATTTCTGTGGAGTCTTCACAATAGATTTATAAGCAATTCTGAAAATGTAAATTTGTTTAATTGTACGAGTATATTATTTATATACTTGTATACTTGTAAAGAAGTTATTTTTCCAGCTGGGGTGATGGCTCAGCTGTCCAGGATTCCTTACAAGAAAATTTGTAAGTTGCGGGACATTGCGACCAAAAGGGCTCGATGCACGCTGTAGGGGACTATTGGCAGCGACACGTGGAATTTGCGTTCACTGGTTGATGCCCGATGAACGAAAGTTCGACGCATCTACCAGACTGCCGCCATCTTGCAATTGTGGTTAACGACACTGCAATTTCAAGGCGTCACCAATCTGGCTGGATTTCGCGGTTTATAACACCTTAGCGTTATATCTGCCTGTTAATGGCCCAGCAGATATAACTACCAACATGCCATAATTCCCACGAAATATTAGCTCCACTTCGTTGTACTCCTACTCTAAGTGCTGCCGGCCCTATGCTACACAAAATTAATACCAGGATGCTTTGAACTTACATGGATTTTTATTTGATCGTGTAAGGCTTTGCGGCTGGTAATCGCACGTCTATTCGCTGCTGTGGTCTCTGGAGAAGAGAGCGAGCTTACATTTTTGCTCGCCCTTCGAACCTCGTTTTCTTGCATCCCTTTTCGCTACTTATCGAAAAACTCTCTCTGCGTGGGCGGTGATGCCAGCTCGCCTGTTCTCTCTCTATTTACAACACTTATAAAATACCTCTCGTTGTGCAAATTCAAATAATACCGGTCCTTCATGACAATTTTAGAAATAGATAATGCGCAATATACTAATTATAACTAAATATTTAACTTCATGTGTTCCTGTTTAGTGAAGTATGCGCATATGTCGTGAGTGCACTGTATCCAGTGCCCGTCAAATATATACAACAGCAACACTTTGTCGCTGCATAAACATAATTCAAAGAGCGACACTTTCAAGTGCAATGACTTGAACGTAGCTGGCGCAATTAGTCGCGTCAGCATTCTTGACCGCTCATGAGACATATATGCATACCACTCTCTTATGTTATATATAAGCATATATACATAAGGCTGCTCTGCCGCTGACTTCCGCTGAAGCGACGCAGCGACGCAGTTTTTAGGCTAAGCACATTTTATACATTTCAATTAATAAAGATTTACCAAACGACTCGTTTGTTTTTGTGTTCGAGACAACATCGGGATAGAAACCCAAAAGGGTTTCATTTCATGGCTACCGTGACAAGACACGTCGTTCTAATACAGAAGAAACAAGCAAACAGGGAGAGAAAACTCCAGTAAAAAATCAAAGTGAACCCTGCCGTCGATGAAGAAAAAGCAGTCGCTCTTCTACGGAGGAAAACCTACGGAAAAATGTTGTGTACCCAGGCAAATAGAAAAAACGTATGAGAAAAATGATTGAGGAAATCAAATCTACATAGATGA